CTTTGCTCATTCGTGCAGATTTACGAGAAGGAGAAGAGATGGTAATGTCGAGATTTCTTGGAGGACTTAACCGAGAAATTCAAGACAAGGTGGAACTTCAGGATTTCGCAGATATACAAGAGATGGTGCATAAGGCTGAATTGGTGGAATCTCAAGTCAAGAGGCGAAATTTCAAGTCCACATTCACGCCTAGTGTGCCTAAGCCTAAGGAGATCAGCAAACCAGCTTACTCCAGAGACATCAAACCGCCCTCTACTGGAGTTAAAGAAGAAGCTAAAGCTGAGTTCAAGCCTCGAGGTGGTACTTCTATCAGCAATGTGAGGTGTTTCAAATGTCAAGGAATGGGACATTACTCTCGAGATTGTCCAAACAAGAAGGTTTTCTTGTTACAAGAGGGAGGAGAGATAGTTCCTCAAGAGGACTCAGAGGCCGAATATGAAATAGAGGAAGAGGAAGAAGTTGCCGCCGTGGGCGAGATGCTGGTTGCCAGAAGGACTTTGAGTGTTCAGAGTCAACCTGAAGAGACTTGTCAGCGAGAAAACCTGTTTCATACGAGATGCTTCATTCAAGGAAAAGTTTGCAGCCTGATCATAGATGGAGGAAGTTGTACTAATGCTGCAAGCGAAGAGATGGTTAAGAAGCTCCAGCTCAAGACTATTCCTCATCCAAGACCGTATAAGCTTCAGTGGTTGAATGACAGTGGAGCCTTGACCGTATCTCAGCAAGTTATGGTTTCTCTATCTATTGGGAAGTATGAAGATGAGATTCTATGTGACGTCATTCCCATGGGTTCGAGACATGTGTTGTTAGGCAGACCGTGGCAATCAGATCGTAGGGTGATACACGACGGTTACACCAACAAGCATTCATTCGCAAAATTACCCTCCTACCTCTCACGCTTACCGAGATTTACCAAGATCAGATTCAGATGAAGCTCAAGGAGAAGGAGAAAGTCGCCAACAGCCTCGACATAAACCACAGTGAATTTTCTAAACTCTTTGATCCTGAAATGACTACTTTTATGTTTGTGTACAAGGAATCCCTTGTTAGTACTAACCCTTCACAGGAGCTTCCTAGTGCTATGTTTGAGATTTTGCAGGAATATAAGGACGTTTTTCCAGTAGAAATTCCACCAGGACTACCTCCAATTTGCGGGATAGAGCATCAGATTGACTTGGTACCAGGATCAGCCTTACCTAACAGGCCAGCATACCGAACCAATCCTGTAGAGACTAAGGAGCTGCAGAAGCAAGTGGAAGAGCTGATGAGCAAGGGACATATCCGAGAAAGCTTGAGTCCATGTGCGGTTCCAGTTTTGTTGGTGCCCAAGAAATATGGTTCCTGGAGGATGTGTGTAGACTGCCGAGCTATCAACAACATCACTGTGAAGTATCGGCATCCGATTCCAAGACTAGATGATATGCTGGATGAGCTCTGTGGATCGACAATCTTCTCGAAGATAGATTTGAAGAGTGGGTATCATCAGATCAGAATGAAGGAAGGGGACGAATGGAAAACGGCATTCAAGACAAAGCAAGGACTCTACGAGTGGCTAGTTATGCCGTTTGGTCTCACCAATGCTCCCAGCACCTTCATGAGATTAATGAACCATGCCCTGAGACCATTCATTGGCATGTTCGTAGTGGTTTATTTCGACGACATACTCATCTACAGTAAAGGTTTGGAAGAGCATCTAGACCACATCAGATTGGTTCTTGATGTTCTTCGCTCTCAATCTCTTTTTGCTAATTTATCTAAATGTTCATTCTGCACTAACGAAATTGTTTTCTTAGGCTTTGTAGTAAGTGCAGGAGGAGTTAAAGTAGATGAAGAGAAGATAAAAGCTATCAAGGAGTGGCCAACCCCCAAGAATATTGGAGAAGTCCGAAGTTTCCATGGTTTAGCATGATTCTACAGGCGTTTTGTTCGTGATTTCAGCACCATAGCCGCGCCCTTAACCGAAGTAATCAAGAAAGATGTGGGGTTCAAGTGGGGAGAGGCGCAAGAACAGGCTTTTACAGCCCTTAAAGAGAAGCTTATCAATTCGCCCTTACTAGTACTTCCTGATTTTACTAAGACTTTTGAGATTGAATGCGATGCTTCTGGTGTAGGTATTGGAGCAGTTCTTATGCAGGATAAGAAGCCCGTCGCTTACTTCAGCGAAAAGTTAGGAGGTTCCACGTTGAATTATCCCACTTATGACAAGGAGTTATACGCATTGGTTCGAGCTCTCCAGACATGGCAGCATTACCTATGGCCTAAGGAATTCGTCATTCATACCGATCACGAGTCTCTAAAGCACCTCAAGGGTCAGCAAAAGCTTAACAAAAGACATGGGCGATGGATGGAGTTCATTGAGACATTCCCCTACATTGTTAAGTACAAAAAAGGTAAAGATAATGTGGTCGCAGACGCATTATCCCGGAGGTACACTCTTATGTCGACTTTAACATCAAAGTTGATTGGATTTAAACACATTATAGATCTTTATGAATCTGATACTGACTTTTCTGAGAGCTATGCCAAATGTCATAAGTTTGCCTGTGAGAAATTTTATAGACAGGATGGATACTTGTTCTTCAGTAACCGATTGTGCATACCACGAGGATCTATTCGAGAGTTACTGGTACGAGAAGCTCATGGTGGTGGATTAGCTGGACATTTCGGTGTCACAAAGACACTTCTTGGGCTACAAGAGCACTTCTACTGGCCGAACATGAAGAAGGACGTTGAGAAAATCTGCTCTAGATGTGTTGTATGTAAGATGGCTAAGAGTAAAGTTCAACCTCACGGTTTGTATACTCCTTTGCCTATTCCTTCTCAACCTTGGACTAATATCTCTATGGATTTTGTAGTTGGCTTACCTCGCACCAGAAATGGTAGAGATTCTATTTTTGTAGTTGTTGACAGGTTTAGCAAGATGGCTCACTTCATCGCTAGCCACAAGACAGATGATGCTGTGAATGTAGCTAACTTGTTTTTCAGGGAAGTAGTGAGACTGCATGGAATGCCACAGGTTATCGTTTCAGATCGAGACACAAAGTTCTTAGGACATTTTTGGAGAACACTTTGGGCTAAGCTGGGAACAAAGCTCTCATTCTCGACTACGTGTCATCCTCAGACCGATGGACAGACCGAGGTGGTGAATAGAACGTTGTCCACACTTCTAAGGACTTTGGTGAAAAGTAACCTCAAGACTTGGGAAGAGTGTCTGCCTCATGTCGAGTTTGCTTACAATCACGCTAAGCATTCCGCTACTCTCTTTTCTCCTTTTGAAATTGTATATGGGTTTAATCCACAATCACCTCTAGACTTGATCCCTTTGCCTTTAAGTGGAAAATGCAGCTTGAATGGCAAGGAGAAAGCTGAACAGGTCCGAAGAATACATGCTAAGGCTAAGGAGAACATCGAGAAGAAGACAAAGCAGTATGAGAAGCATGCCAACAAAGGACGAAAGGAGCTGATTTTCGAAGAAGGAGACCTGGTGTGGATCCATCTGAGGAAGGAGCGATTTCCAGCTGAGCGAAAGAACAAGCTAATGCCCAGAGTTGATGGACCAACACAGTCATCAAAAGAATCAACAACAACGCCTATCAGATTGATCTTCAAGGTAAGTATGATGTTTCTGATGCTTTCAATGTTTCTGACTTGCTTCCTTATGTTGCAGATTCAGATTTGAGGACAAATCCTTTTCAAGAGGGAGAGGAACGTGATACGATCCAAGGTGATCTACTCTGAAGCAAGAGGCAATAGATGTGGCGATGTGGTGGATGGAATGCAGCGATGATGCGATGGAGTGGTGATGGTGGCTGGTGGATCGGATCGATGGTTTGTGATGGTGAGATGATCGATTGATAGTGTGGTGGTAGTGTGATAATCGAATTGATGATGATGAAGGATAGAAGAATCTCTTGTAAACAGATTAGCTTTTAAGAGATTCGAATTTCAGAGTTTTTTTAGTTCTCAGAAATCAAAGAGAGAAGAACACGTTAAACGTTTGATCAAAATTCTTCAATGAATAACACTTAGGTGATTTTCTCTCTTTAATAGACTTAGAGAGAAATCGCAGCCCTAAGAAACAAACTACATGAAGTTTGAAATAAAAACAACAAGAAGTTTGATTTAAAAAAATAAAACAGCGAGGCGTCCCTAAATTCCTAAGTGGTGCGCCAAAATACTAAGTGCACAAGTCATTGTGACTTTGCACATTATTACCCATTAGTAACAACTTCTAAGTAACTCAATGTAGCAATGATTTCTGCCTCGTTAAAAACCTTGGAGAAGAACCTCCTTGCCTTCCAAAATCCTCACCAAGGAAAAGAGTACAGAATCATCCCTAAGTTACCTAGTCATTGTTACTGGGTTCTTCATTCCTCAAGATAGAGATGTTGAAGATGTGAGCTCCAGCCTCCAGTTGATCGATGTCCTCTGCGGCAATGAGTGCGTGAGCCTCCTTAGCCATTTCTCTAGCTCTGGAACGAGTGATCCTGCCAGCTACCTCTGGTTCCTCCTCCTCTGAGCTGGTCACGATCATATCAAGACGGATCCATTATTTATTATGATAGGGTGTATAATTTGCAATTTTATTATTTTAATAATCAGTTCATTCGAAGAAAATCATGTTAATAATCAAAATCATGGAAAGTAAGATTGTACGTCCTTCCACTGACAAATTAAGCCCTCTACAATTGTTTCTTTTTGGTTGAGTTAAGGTTCTAGTTAAGATTTAATATTTGATTCTTTGTGATGATGGAGCATTACAATTCCAAAAAAAACGTTATTTCCTTTTATTTTATTAATAGTAAATGCATTCATGGCAATCTATGTCTTGTCTCCCTAATTTTCTGAAATTTTAAATCAATCTTCTCCCTCATAATAAATCCCTCTTTATTCCTTCTGTCCCTCTTTATATATTTTCTGGCACAAGCCAAAACATGTACAGACACAAAAAGATCAGACTATTTTATCGGGAAAAAGATCCAAGCAAAATTATAACAGCCATGGCTTCACATTGGACAATACCAAAGCTTGTCACTTGGAGAGTCAAAGATTGGGCTTCCTGTTTCTTGGCTTCCAAGATTTCTCTAGGTCTTCCTCAATTCTCTTATATATTGCTTAAATTATTTTACTGATTATATTGCTTCCAAGAGTCAAAATTATATTGCTATATTTTTCAAACCTATTTATTGCTTAAATCATTTTACTGATTATATATATAATAGATGTAGATGAAGATGGAGTTAAAAATGACGGGAACTCTAGCAACTACAATAATCTAATGTTCAAGAGGACAAAGAAGAAGATGAAGAGTAAGAAGAAGAGATCAGAGAGGAAACTCAGCAGCAGCGTTTCTCCGACGTTAACGTCTAAGCCACCGGTTTTAGACGAAGCTGGCTTCATTGACTTATGCTTCCACCGCGAAGACGGAGGTTTCGATGTTGTGAAAGATGAGAAGAAAGAGGTGGAATTGTCGCCGGAAAAGTCACTGGTGAATCATAAGGTTCGTTTTCTGGAAACCTCAAATCCTTTTAAACTTTGAAAAAACTTCCCCATGCTAAAGGATGTGCAAATGGTGCATTTGAACAGGGTTCTGACTTGAAACTTATTTGTCGGGATCAATTATAAAGATAAAATAAATTATTTTTAAATAGCATAAAAAATTATAATATATTAACTGTATAAGTTTTACAAATCTGATTTTATAATAATTTCTTAAATTTATCTCTACGATAAAAATGATGTGCAAATGGTGCATTTGAACAGGGTTCTGACTTGAAACTTTTTTTTCGAGATCAATTATAAAGATAAAGTAAATTATTTTTAAATAGCATAAAAAATTATAATATATTAACTGTATAAGTTTTACAAATCTGATTTTATAAGAATTTCTTATATTTATCTCTACAATAAAAATGAATAACATTTTACAAGTCGTAAGTTTCATATAAATTGATCTTGTTTAAATGAAATGTTTCATTAAATAGATAGTATATTATTAAATCTTAAAATCCACGTTTTAATAAGATAACCAAAAAAAAGTACCTAAAATTCAAATAATAAGTTAGAGAAGAGAGAATAAAATATATATATATATACATATATTTTAAACGTTCTTGGGTTTTTTTATTTTTGACAGGTTTTATAAACTTTTATAAAATTATAAAACAATTTTTATTTGATAATAAATTCCCGTGCGTTGATGTACAGGTTTTTTCCTAGTAATATTAATTTGATCGAATTTTGTGTGTATGTAGATTATAATCTATTATATAAAAGTTGGGTTGTGTCTCACAATCTTGACACATCAGCATCTATTATTTTGACACATCAGATTTATAAAATAATTTATAATTTATTTTATTGATTTTGAATTATTTAGAAAACACAAAAGTCCTAAATCATTAAATACAATACAAACAATAAACTTCTTATCTTTTTTATTTTTTTTTTTGGGTTAAAATTCTTCTGCTTTGATTTTAGTGAGAGAGAATAAACTATTATTTATTCTTATTCTATTGATTATTGATGAAGATAGTCCAACAAAAAATCAAATGTAATTTGAGAAAACAAAAAAAGATCAACTGCATAATCTCTGAAAAGCTTAATGAATATCAGGAAGTCAACAACATAAAGTTATGGAACTAAAGGTGAATGATCATCTCTTTGTTTATAACATGCATTTGGATTACAAATCTTTTTAGTTTATATGTTGCCTTCAGATTTTAAATCTTGACTTATTTGTATGCTCAAAAGTCCAAATAATATCCCTTTAAAAGGAGTCAAGAAAATGAATACAACATATTTAGAGAAAAAAAATATTTTTAGTTGTAATGACTAATGATGACTAAGGAATTTTTGTTTTGTAAAAAGTCGTATTTCTCTGATGCAACAAATTATTCGGAAGTACTTGTAAAATTTACCAATACGTTTCTCTTATGCATAAAACTTCGCAACTTTAGACGTAAAAACTAAAATTTGTAACCAAATGAAGGGAATGATAAATCTTATTAACTTTAAAAATTCGAAATAATACAACTAAAATCATAGAAGTAAGTAACTATTTTGGAAAGAAATTTAAATAAATAAAAAATCTCATAACTGTAGAGTTTGGATATTTAAATTATTTTTTCGTATTCTATAGTCTTTTCAGACGAATTTCATAATTGTAGGATTTGGATTTTTAATTTGATTTCAATTTTATATGTTTCTTTTCCTAAAGTTGTAGATTTGGGCTTATATGCCAATTTTTTGTACCAAAGTTTTCTACTTCTACATAAAGCATCCCAAAAAGTAAAACAGATGTTAAGAGGATGAAATTGTGTGACCAAAGCCTCGGTAATCTTTTCAAGCATGCAAGTGTTCTATAGCATATGGAACTATGGAAACATAAGACGTCACTTTGAGAAAATTTGGGCTGATAGTTTTTAAATTCGCTTTAGTTATGAATATTAAAGTTAGCGATTAAATTCAAGTGAAAGATTTAGCATAGAAGACTATCTCCAACGTGAGATCTGTAGTGATTTCATACTAAAAACTTGGTGAAGAAAAGTGGTCATGAGTTTAATACAATTTGGGATATCATAGTTAGAACTCCATTATATTCATTTTTGATTTCAGAAGAGTTTATGAAATACTTTACCAATTAAAATAGGAAAATCCAAATAAAATTTATCTATTTATTTATAGGATATGCCTCTTGAGTTTATAACCATAAGTTGATATTTTATACTTAGTATTTGTTGGATTATATCAACTCTAGATTTTGTTTAGTATAATATGTGTTTGATTAGCTTCTTTGAAGACAAAATAATAGCTAAAAATAAACTGATAAAAATTTTACTTTTAAAAGAATTAAATAACAAACTTTTTTTTTACATGTATATGATAACCTCAAAAAGAAAATTCTGAATTAAGTTTATTTAAAGTTACAAAAAAGCTTAAAAATATTTTAAAAAACATTAAAAAGACTTCGTGCATTTGCACGGGTAATCATCTAGTATATAGATTAAAATAGAAACTAGATTCTTTTTAATAAAACTATTTCCTTCCCACAAACACATTTAAAATCATTTGACGCATCAAATATTATATGTCTAACATGGACAAAATTTATAGAAACCGGACTTTTGAACAACTTTTGCCTTGAAGCTTTTGACTTTATATTGATTTTTCTGTAACAACAGCTTATTTATGGAGATCAAGGCATAGGAAATACAAATAAGAAAAACTCGCTGAAGATTAAAGGGCCAGAACAAGATCCGGACGATAAGACTACATGCCAAGAAACTGAAGATGTCTCTTGTGATGCTCATGAGGTATTGTCTCTAATTTAAGATGTTTCTTTTTTTTTTCTAACTTAGATAATTTGCTATTTTTATCTATTTGTATACTTTTGGCTGTTGTAGAAGAACGAGGAGGAAGAAGAAGAAGAGATGGGCGCCTTTGACGAATCAAGCGAGTCTAATCACTCAGATGAAGCAAGAGGATCTTTTGCATTTCCCATGTGAGTTTCAATAGCAACAAAAAAGTTAACTTTTGATTGGTTGTCTTGTTTGGAAATTAGGGTGTCCGAATTAACATTTTGGGATTAAAAATGATGCAGATTGGGGGTTGAGTGGATAGGGAGCCCTGTTCACATGCCTAAATCAGATGACTTGTCTCCCAAGAAACAAAAGCCCATTGATTTCGGGTTCGAATGCTGTAGGTTCTGAAAAAAGAAAACACTCTGAAGCTTATAGGATTCTTTCATACTACTCTAGCTTATGGGATTCTTTCATACTACTCTATTTCTGAGTAAAGAAACACTCTGAAAGATAAGATTATCTACAATCTCGATTTAAACAAGAACTACTCTGTCACAGCTCTGTTTATGAGATTCTTTTGTACTATTCTGTCACAGTAGTAACATACACTCGTGCTCGTGCGTCTACTATTCTCCTCATTTCTGTTTCATATACGTCTTCCTGATTTTGATAGGATCCAACATGGTAAAACGATGAGTCTCCTTTTTAACAATGTTTCTCCTGTTTTCGAACAATGAGTTTTAAGAGGTTTCCAACAATGTTTCCAACAATGAGTTTTAAGAGGTTTCCAACAATGTTTCGAACAATGAGTTTTAAGAGGTTTCCAACAATGTCCTTTTTAACAATGTTTCTCCTGTTTTCGAACCAGGATGGTTCATTGACTGTAGACCATGATCCGAGTTTTTGAATTTTTACTTTTCTTAATTGTCGGTACTGAATGAATTTACGATTCTAATATAAAATTTCGTTGACCAGACATTAATTCCAATCTGTTTATCAGTCACATTGGTTTCACACCCAAATTAACAGTCTAATCATTTGAATTTCAAGAGAAATAGCCTAAGTGAAAAAGAAATTTGCATATTTTGGGAATTCTCAAATAGCAATTATAAAAGTATAGATAGGAGACCCAAAATGTTACAAATTACACGAGAATGAGAAAATAATGATACAATCTACTACTATTGACTAATACCTCTTTAGAAAAGGCTTTTATATTAGAGGTTGAAATTGAGAGAATGAAAACTGAGATTCATCTTCTTGTGGCTTCTTCTTGAATCCTCTACTCCAAAACACTGAGATCTTTGGCGACACATCGATGCCACAGCCTCTTTCATGGACTCTGGTCCACATGCCAAAACTCCTATACTCGACCATCCTCTCAAGTTCTTCCCAAACTCCGACAATATCTCTGTGTTAGACAAAAATGCTTCAGAACCTTAAGAGACAATATAACTCAAAAATATATATTGAAGTTTTGATTAACAAATACCTTGGAATTCTGGCCTTTCTCCGATATGTATTTCATGTTCCTCAACATGTGCAATTGGTATTAACTCGGTGAAGTTTCTTTCCTCTGGTTTTACTTCTTCTTTAGACATTCTTGGTGCCTCTCTGTTTTGTCGTCTCCACTTTAGAATAGTTGCAGCTAAACCTCCGGTTGCTATAGCTATAAAGTAAGATACAATGATAACCAAATCTGGAACCCACGAAGGAACCTTTTCTTTAGCTGTCTTCATTTCTCCTGAAGCAGCTAATTTCATAGAATGTGAATGATTCTTGTGTTCAGAAGGTATAAAGAAATGGCATAAACCAATAAGCAACCCGAGAAACATGAGAACGGTTATAAGGACTAATGTGGCAAGCCATCTAAAACTGTCAGGGCCAAGAATTGGGAATCTTGAATAGTCCTCCTCGGTTCCTAGGTGAATAGACTGAACTTGTGATTGAGCCAAGAAGTCTTGTAATGTTGTTGGTCCATTCGAATGCTTTTTCTCTTGGGTGACAAAAACTTTTATCTTGAGACTTAAGTTGTGGATTGGGGTAAAGAGCATAGAGGATATTGGAATCAACATGTTAATGTCTTGGAATGTCCTGACCGCAAATACGAGCTGCACTCTCTTGGGAGATTTGAGTCGGTTTTCGCACGCCAATTCCTGCAAAATACTTAGAAATGGCGTAATACCGATTCCTCCCGCCACAAGAAACAGAGTATCATACCTGCCAAAAACAGTCAGTACTTTCAGGTTTGAGCAATTCATAGAAATTGAGCTGATGCAAATAGTGTTTTAGCAACCTGAGGAAATATGCCGAGGCAGGGCCATAAGGACCTTCTACTCTTATGGTCATGTTGTTAATATTCTTATCAGAATTTGCAGCTTCTTCTACTATTTTATAAACAGAATCTGTCCATCTTCCTTCACATTTCATCATAACAGACAATGTGTGTTTGTCTACACTTGAGCTCGATGTAATACTAAACGGATGCCATTGAAATTGTGAGATCAACGGGATGTTCACAAATATAAAACTCGATGGAACGTAGTTAAGCCCTGCAAAATACCAGAAAAAAAAAATCACTAAAATAAAGTAAATCCTTTTTATATGTGTAATATAATAAATACAGAAAAATGTACTTTCTTACTTAGGTGCTTTGGCAAGACAAGCTCAATGGCTTTACAAGAGAAGAGACGTGCGGAAAGAACGCAGCTTTCGGATTGTGATTGAACAATCCGAAGTGTCTTGTCGAGTCCAAAGAGAAAGACTCCAGGGAGGATCCAGTAGAAGTGACGATCACCAGCATGAAACAAGAAAGATACAAGAAAGAGTATATACAAATGGTGTGTGTAGTAAAAAACTTCAAATTTCTTCCTTCGAATTTGAGGAAGTGATGTGACCCACATCAGCAATCCTGTTACAAGACTGATCACTCCAGCTACATATATCCGGCCTGTTCTCTGCCATTTCCAAATCTGTTTTTTTTTTTTTGGTTTTTTTGTACCCCAAGAAAGAGTCATGAACTACTGTTCAAGATTGTTATAAAGAATTTGACTTGTACTTTTTTCTTACCTCTTCTTCAATGTGATGAGTAATAGTCCATATGAACAAGGTGCTTCCTCCATGAACCAAAGAAAAGAATATCAAACCGTTCCCAAGCCATACATGATATCTTACAGAAGCTGCAAACTGAATGTTGAGTAACCGGAACATCGAAAGTCCTCTCAAGACAGGGAAAAGAAGCAGAGAGAGACAGGCTTCGGCTAATAGACCGAACCTTGTAGCTACTCTAAAGTACTTAAGCTGCCATCTGTGAACATATAACAAGTCAACAATTCTATATAGAATAGGCTGTATATTTTCAAAATTGGAGAGCAACTTTACAGTTCAAGATTCATGGTTTTGATAGGCGTCAGCTTGTTGAAGTCGTTGGAGACGCGAGCGTAGAAGGTCCAAGCTAGAAAGAGTAGGAACAGAAGAAGAGCAATGATCTCGAAACAAGACACAATTCCGATGAAGCTATTGATAATGGCTGGTCTTGAGACATTAAAATCTACACTCTTCCCTCCTCTATTGCTCATTGTGAAAACAAGTAGACAAAAACCTATTATATCAAATTTTTGATCTTTTACTTACTTTTAACTATGACGCAAAAACTGAAATTATATTACCTTGTTGAACGATTGTATAGCGGGAGTAAACTCAAGTAAATGAGTCCAATTATAGAAAGAGCAATAGGAGGGAATGAGAACACGGCAAAGCTGAGACCTGATGAATCATAATTGGAGAAATCAGAGATACACAGAAGTAAAATAAGAGAAGATTTGGGCTACTTACCGTAATAGCTGAAGAAAGTGTGTCTGATGATATCTTCTGCTTGACGCCAAGATTGTATCCATAAAGTGGTGGGTTTTATGATCCAGAGAGAAATCCAACCGATAAGTAAGAGATTCATAAGTACTCGGAGCACAAGTAGTGTCAACACTTTGCCCATTTTTCTATTCACTATTTTAGTTAGTTCCAATGTTAGAGGGTGGTTTGGTTTTTGTTCAGCTTCTTTTAGTTTCTCTTTATATGGAATCTAAAGAAAGAAGACCCAATAAAAGGGCCCCACCACCATGTCACGGCTTGCTTTCACTTCAACACTTAGTACAACCTTTCATTCTCAAGAGGTGTTGATTATAGAGTAATGAGAATTATAGAGTATAATAGAGAGGAAAAGAAAACAAAGAGTTAGAAGAACAATATGAACCTGTCAAGGCTAGATTCCCAGTTTTTGTTATTTGATAGGTAGTTTTAAGTTGGAGTATTAGTTTGTCATCCCTTCAATGTATTTTTTTGATGTTTTCTTTGGTTTCCGGGGATTTATCAATATCCCGTGGGCTTTTGACTCCCGAGGACGAATTCTTGCCGGCTTGGTAATTTACCTTGTATCCCACTCTGTGTTTCACTTTGGAGTTCTACTTTGATAATAAAATCTAGACCAAAAAAGTAGAAATAAGTGAAAATTGTATGTTGCACAAAAACAGAAGTGGAAAATTGTATTTATATCTATGAAAGCAAAGAGGAAAAAATTAATCAGTATAACGCTAAAAAAAGGGTGGAAAAAGGTTATCATAAAAACAGACAAAAGAATCCAGCGAAAAATCGCAGGAAATCTCTCTCTACTTTTTCTTTGTGATTGGTCAGAGTAAAAGAAAATTCAGCAATTATAACTTCTTTCATAAAAACATTTTGACTTTATAGTTCAGCACCTGTCGATGGTTTTTTTTTTTTTTTTTTTTGGGTCGACAACATACTTCATTGCATAAGAAAGTTATTACAACACTGTCGATGGGTTTTACTAAGGATATTGGAGTCGGTGTAAATTTTAGCCAAATTATTCTAGTTTATGTTTGAATTGGTACAGCTATATATAGCCAATTTAATACAGGATATAAAATAAAAATATGTAGCTTATATAATTATGTTTTAACTACGGGCAAGTTATTGTATAAACTAGGTGAATACCCGCACATAAAGTGCGGGTTTTTCTTTTTAACTATTTTCAAATCTTATATAAAAAAATATAATTATTTTTGTTATGTGTGTTAGTATATTATTATAAATAATTTTTAAAAATTTATATATATAAAAAAAATCTTAAAAATTAATTTAAAATGCAACATCATAAATATAAAAATAAATATAATCATTATTATTTGAGATGTATATTAGTATGCTATTATAAATAATTTTAAAAATTTTATCCAAAAAAATTAAAAATCAATTTAAAATATAATATTATAAAAAGTTAAGAATTATATAAAATTACAATAAATATCAATCAATATCAATCAATTAATAAAAAACTGTTCATATTCTTTGAATGTTTTAAAATTTGATATTAAAATTTTTTTAAAAAAATAAATTATAACTTTAAATTATAAAAGTGATACATGTCATCTCCATATCAATTTAAAATGATGATGTGTCACTCATATGGAGAGAGTTGGTTATCTTTTATATATAAAATTGACCATTTTCCCCGTGACTCACACCCTTAATTTTACTGCCCGTTCAATCAGTTGTTAATTTTTTTTTTGTCAAGATAAATTATTTATTTTTGAAAATTATTTTGTGCTAGAAATTAAGAACATGATGCGAAACCTTCACTAAGTGGTAATCTAACGGTTGAAGAGTTTACCTTGAATGCTTTTCTTTAGCAAGGGAGTCTTTTTACAGCGATTTCAATCATCTTGACTTGATTACCTTGTAACAAAATCTAAACTTGATGCTTAAACATGTACAATCTCTTGGACCAAATTTAATCAAAGCCCAATAGCTTATTAATTTGCAAAGGTATGAAAAGAAATAATAGATTATACACTTTGTGTATTAGAGGAGAGGAGATATTTTCTGGTTCAAGATTGTTTTAAATTGCTGGTCAATCAAGCAATTTAATTCAATATTGATTGTCTCTTTTATCCACAACTGACTCAAAATCAATTTAAATTTGTAACTTCCACATCTCTCTATTATTGTCTATATTTATTGGACAAAACTATAAGATTATATAAAAAGGCTATTGTCTTTCTTATTTTATCTGAATGCACTTTTTCTGCTTTACACAGAGAAAAAATTCACACTACACAAAAAACTCTCTCTTGCTTTAGTTTTCTTTCAAAGTAAGTCCGAAAGTATATCGTAGAATGATCAGTTCGTCAATTCTATAATTGGATGCTGCGATTATAGTTTCAAGTGGTTGTATTCTGGGATTCTTTATCTCATAAACCGTCACACTGTAGGAGATAATTCGGATTAAGAAAAAAGTCATACTCACCTAAACTTCTCGTATTTTTTTTTAATCGTATTTTCAAAATGTTTTTATCTGAAAATCTTCTCTACATATTTTTGCAATATAAGTCTCCATATTTTACACCTACAGTCTTAATCCGAAATAATATGATCTTCATCGGATCCTATATTGCAAAATTTTTCTTTCTCAAACAAATTTCAGGAAGTTTTGTTTCTCCTTCAAAAATGCTTTCCGCGGGCGTCAAACAAACCAGTTAGCACTGATAGTTTCCAAGATTTAAGAAAAAATGACTCTCGTATACGAAGAAACAACTTCCACGAAGGCCATTAGCAAGTTACGCGAACTGTTCTCTTTCATACAAATCAAAAACGATCTTAAATCGTAGACGAGAAAGTGTCTAGCAACTTCCCTAAAATGTCTATAAATCGTCTCGGTACGCCTTCGAGCTATATCCGTGAACGATTTTTGAGTTAAAAAAAAAAATACTCAAAGCAATTCTACAAACACTTTATAGCGATGTTTAAAAAACGCAGTACTTAGCGACTTATAATTTTTTAATCGCTATTTTATTGGTTCTATTTTAAGAATCTGATATATTTTCTGTCTTTTTTGAAAATATGTTTAACAAGATTGAAAAATCCTCAAACTTTGACTAAATGTCAAAAGTGTTAAATGTCCCATATTTGATATTTGGATTTGAATTTGGGTTTAGATTTGTTAATTGAGTATTATGTCCATTAACTTATCTTTGAGCCCATATTTGTGTTGATCTTTTGTGCTTGTTTAGACACAAAAAAACAAATCCATAAAAAAGTATATTATTTGAAATGGTCAAAACATAATATCTTCTCCATTCAATTTTGTAATCAAATCGTAAGTTACAAAGTGAGTAATTCATGTGAATTGAATTCTTCCATTAAGTCACTTGTCTCTGGTTTTCCTAAAGGCCATAAAACGTGACACACAAAGAAATAGCCCATTCAGGCTAAGAAAAATGGAGGTCCAAAATGGATTGCTTGTAAAGCTTAAAATGCACATTTGTTAAATGTCCCATATTGGAAGCATAAGGTGAAATTCATCTTGTATATAAAGTGGAGAAATTATAAAAAGGTTAAAAACCTTAATATTTTTAATAAAATGAGATATCTGGGCTGGACTCAGGTTTTATGATCAGGCAAATAAGAGAAATTTTTTTTGACCCGAAATTCATTTGCTAATTGTTTGATTAAGTCAACAATGCATAACATCTCATTTATTGTTGTGTAACAACATAAATAAAGTATGATTGATTTTATAACATTTCAATCTTGACTTTATGAGGACACTTGATTCTCACGATAAGCTCATAATGAAAAATTCAAACTTGAATTCCTTTTGTAACATACAAAGTTTAATGTGGAAAATCAAAACGTCTATACCCACTTTATGGCTCTTGTTAAGCATTTGGGCTATAAAAGAAAGCCATCATCTCATTCGTCTAAGGTTGGGATAATACACACAGGAATGTGAAACATGTGTCCAAGCAAAACTCATAAAAATTCCATCACCTCATTTCGAACAAACTACCAAACCTCTAGGTCTAATACACACAGTCTTGTGACTACATCTATTTACTATGAAGTAAAGATGAAGTCTTAGAAAAATTCAAAGAATATAAAACCAAAGTTGAAAATCAACTCGGAAAAACTATTAAGTTAAAAGTGATAGAAGAGGTGAATATGATAGTCCATTTAATGTTTTTTTTTGTTAAGAAAAAGGCATTATACATCAAACCACTACTCCTTACTTACCAGAATCTAATGGAATTGCGGAACGGCCTGGTAGTATACCTTTGTACAAATACCTGAAAGTGTGACGGTGCTTAGCCAATCAGCCATCACCCAGGCACTGAATAATCTCTATAATGGTAAATCGCATCATATAAGAAGACAACATAAAAGCATTAGAAACTTGATCACAACTAGAGTAACCTCAATAGATTACATAAAATTAGCTGAAAACCTAGCAGATCCATTTACCAAGGGTCTAGCTCGTGATCAAGTTACTAATGTCATCGAAGGGAATGGGTTTAAAGCCTATGACTTAAGAGGATGTTTGATGGACACCCCACCTACGTGACTAGAGATCCCAATATGTTAGGTTCCAAAGGGAGAACTAAGTCAAACAAAATCTAACGCACTGAAAGACTTATTGTCTTTACCTAGTTCCCAAGATGATAACAAGCTTACATACAATGCTCATTGTATATCTACAAGGATAAGAATAGCTTTTAATGATAAGACCATAGCTTTGATATAGCAGTGGACTATTCAAAACTCTTAAAACAATGAATATTGGCAAATCACCTAATGAGTGTGAAGTGAGCCGTTTCTAGGAGATTGAAGAACAGAATATGTTCTCCAAGTTCACTCATGATTAACCAGGCAAGTTCATGGCCAAAATGAATACAATAGAGAACTAAGTTCTACGAGAAAATGAAATTGGGTTGTATCTGTTGTCTCAGTTTACATTAAAATCCGGGTGGTTCAAGACATCATGTTCACCTCCTGACCAAGTAAGCCCGACATATATTAACATTGAGTGGTTCAAGGTTGAAACACACTACCATCTCAAATACAGTGATTTTTCTCTTATACTCTTGAAAGTCTGTCTAGTCTAGTCAAGTCAAGTTGCGTCTAGTCTAGTTAAGTCAATTTTATCGAGTCAGTCCGGCCTTCGTATGTCTAGAGTTCTTTCTAT